TGCCATAAAATAGACTTTACACACACACACACACACTCATCCTCCTTTCCTTTCTCTGTTTCATTTCTGCCTTTTATCTGCTCTTGGATTTATCACCTTCCCAGTGACCAGTTCTCAATATTCTGGGCTTTGGGGGCTCTTCAGGAGGGACAGGGGAACGAGGAAGGGCTTTTGTCCTTGGTGTGGGAGAGCAGCTGGAATTCTTGGGGATGGCTGAGGAGCCAGCTGAGAGCTCAGCAGTGAAGAGAGGACATGGAAAGGTGATGTTTTACTGGGAAAATTTAGAGGATTAAACCCTCCACAAACAGGAGCAGCCTCAGGTTGGAATTTGCAGATTTCAGGCCCTGCTCCTCCTGGGGGATTTGAATCACTCTGATCCCTGCTGAAGGGGTAACTCAGTAGGACAGGAGCAATCCAGGAGCTCCTGGGGTGGATTGGTGATAAATTCCTCCTCCAAGGGACACAGGAGCCAACAGAGGGGCTCTGCTGGCCCCAAAATGAAGATCCAAGGCAGGTCTGGCTGCAGTGGCCATGGATGGTGAGTTCAGGATCCTCAGAATTGTAACTAAACCAAAACTTGGCTGCAAAATCCTTGCTCCTGATGTATTTTTATATACTTTTTTTTTCTGTGCTCTTAAAACACATTTACCACCCATCACATCTCATTTAACTTTCCTTTATCCTTTTTTTTTCTCGTGTTTTTCTACTTTTATTTGGAACTAAATGTTACAAGTCACTTGTAATAATTTTACTGCTGTAATAGTCAGATCTGTGAAACAGAATAAAAGTCTTGTAAAATAAAAAGCCTGTTGGGGTTGATCCTGTAAAAGAACAGTTACTCCATGCTTGGAACGAGACAATACTGGTGGATTTAAAGAGTTTTGTGCAGTAGAAGTTGATTTCTAGGGGAATCTAGGCAGTGTTTGACAGCAAATCCCAGCTCTCTTAAACTGCTGGATCTGGGATCAGCATTCCCTCTGATCACTGCAAAGTTTTGTGGCCCTGGGGGATGGAACATTTTTGTTCATTCTTGTGACATCCTCGTGACAATTGGTTCATTCAGCAGCTTGGGGGAAAATAAAGTTGCTTTGAGCAAGTTGTGAAAACAGAAAATGTTGTTTCTAAATTCCTGCCTTTGTAATTCCCCGAGAGAAATAAGATTGTCAGATGGGGACTTAGCATTATCCCAGGGATAAAGCTGCTGCCTGGTAAGCCTGGCCTAGAGGAATGGTTATTGGTAAATAAACATCTCGGGAGTGAGCTGTGTTATCCGGGAGATTTGGGGATGGGGAAGCTCTTGTAGCTCAGAGGATTTTGATAATGGATTAAGGGAATTTCTTAAATAAGAACAGCCTGCTTTTGGAATAACGTGGAACGCCGCCTGGCAGAATTTAACCCCCCAAAACAAACAGTGTGGTTCTGCTTTCCTTTAGGAACAGATCCTGCTGTTACACGAGAGCTCCACGGTTGGTTTCCATTTCACACCAGTGAGTGGGAGCATCCCTCACCCTTCCAGAGGAAGTTTCCTGCAGCTCACTGACCACACCACAGACCAGGAGGTGTTGGAGCTGCCCTGCAGAGCCAAAGCTGATCCCTGACTGCTCCCAGGAGCTCCATGCCAGGCAGGGCAGAAGCTTTTGGCTGCAAGCGGCCGCGCTCGAACGTCTCTGATGGTGCCAAGGCAACTCTGCAAATTCCCCTGCCTGGGCTCCCAGATATCCCCTGGAATCCCCAGGGATTAACCACAGGCATCGAGCTCAGTGTGGCTGTGTTTAGCAGGAGTGAAGATTTACTCCCAGGATCAGCTTTGTTCCAAGGCCTGGCCTTGATCCACACCAGGGATCTTTCTGTCCCACAGCCCTGCAGGGATGTTTGTCCTGCTGGTGCCTTGAAATGCTTCTGCTCCTCCCTTCCCCGAGCCTTGGCTGGATGCTCCTGCCTGTGGGAGCAGGGGATGGATCCCACCCCAAATTCCTCCTGCCAGCTGGGATTTTCCTGCCCAGAGGGAACCCCTTGGTTCCCAGACCTGGAGCAGGTGAGTAAATGGATTTACACCGAACCAGAGGTCTGGCTGTAAATGCCCCATGGAAGGGATGTGGGGAGATGTGTGTCCTTCAGCTGCTCTCCTGCCTTCCAGTCTCAGCTATGTGGGAATTCTATTATTTTTTGGTCTTTTTTTCCTGCTTGGAGTCACCAGGCAATGCCACCAGCCAGGGCTGTTGCCCATTTCCCCTGGAACATTCCACTTCTACTTCAGAAGCTGTGATTACCATCTTAATTTTCACCATCAGAGCTTGTGGCCCTCCTTTGTATCAGAAGGAATCTCCTGTAAATGAAGTTCTGATAACAGAAAGTTGCATCAGTGGTGGAGGTGAAAACTCTTCCCTATCACTTGTACAACCACGGGCTGCTGTTGCCTGGCCTGCACAGAGATAAGACAAAACCATCCAGAAAACAAATGCACCTTTTTCTAACCCACACTTCATTTTAACAGCATTATTAAATTCCCTGGGAAGGCTTTCAGCAGAATTGGTTATTGGATTCAAAAGCCTGGCAGCCAGAGTATTTTTCCACATAGGTTTTGATCTGATCCTTTCATCTGATTGTTTCAGTTGTGATGCACGAGCCCTGGCTCCAGCACCAGCAGAGTCCCAGCAGCTCCTCTGAGCACGTTTGGGGCTTCATTCCCTGAGGAGCCTCCAAAGGAATCATGCTGGAGTCAGGAACCCTCTCCACAAAACTCCTGCTTTGTAAAGGATTTTGTTTAGGGTTGGCCACGGAGGAGTTGGGAATGCAAGACACAGGAATTGGCTCCTGCTCTGCAGCTGAAGGGTTCGCTTTGAAATGTCTCAAACTTCCATTTCCTTTGCTGGCCATGCTTTTTCTGGGATGAATTCCCTGATTTCCATGCCTGTGAAGCTTTATCACCTCTGGTTTTCTTGTCCCCTTCCAACCAGGCCTGGATTCCTCTTGTTCCTCCAAGTTTTTTACCCCTGCTGCTACCAACCCCTCACCATTTCCTTATTTTCAGCCCAACTTTCTCCCTTCTCACCAAGGGGAAATCTGGGATAGTTTTTCCTGCCGGGTGGAAATCTTCCCTGTTATTATTTTTAGGATTCCCTTTGATCCAGGTGTGCCTGGGTGGGCCCCCCAGCAGATGTGTGGATATTTAACATTCTTCCCATGTGCTGTAATCCCAAGACCCAGCAGTGGAGAGCCAGGAGCTGTTGGGTTTGTTCTCTTTTGAGGAGCAACAGCCAACCTGAATTATTTCACCTTTTGTCTTTCATTCTCTTTCCCATCAAATAATTCCCCCGTTTCTCATCTTTATGTGGCAGCTGATGGCACTGGAAATGGTTCAGGTGTAAAATGAGCCCTTCCACCTCTCATCATCCAAACAGAATCACCTCAGCTCTGCCAGGCCCCCTCCACCAGCTCCTGCTCATTCCCCAGACAAACCAGGACATTTATCCTGTTCCAAACCCATCCCACCCTGCTCCATTCTGTGCTTGGAGCTGGGTTATTCCAGGCCAGCAGCTCTGCACCCCTCGCTGCCCAGCCTAATGAGCCCAGCAGGTTTTAAAGCACATCTGCTCCCAGTGCTGAGCTCATCCCCACCTGTCCCTGCTCCCAGACATCATTTCCACGCTCTGCTAATCGTCTTCCTCCCCACAGCCCAGGCCACCATCGAGTTCTTTATGGAGCAGAGTTTCAGGGAAGTTTTCTGCTGTGGTGCAGCTGGCAGAAGGAATTTTCTCCTTCCTCCCTCAGTGCAACAACCCTGACGTAAATCACGAAAATCCCACTTGGTTCCACTGTTCCTCTGCTTGGTCCCATCCTCACCCTCCATCCTCCTCTCTTAATGGCTTGGTCATGCTCTGGCTCATCTCCATCTTGAGAGTTCTTTAAACCTAAAACAAAAACGATTAGGCAGGCTTAGGGTACAGCAGAGCTTCAAAGGATTAAACGCTGACGCTTTCTGCTACCCTCGGAGAGATCAAACACTCGGTGCTGCAGAAATCTCCCCCAGCGATCGGGGATTGCAGCGGGATTGGAAGCACGGAGGAGCAGAAGGACGAGGTATGGGGAGGGATTAAAATGAATAAATATGTGTGTCTTGTCCCAGCCACTGCTAAGGGACAATCTGGAGGGACCCAAAGGGCACCAAAAATATGGGGAGGTTGAGAAGTTTGGGGTGGAAATGACCTAAAAATGTGGCGTGGTGGTAAAAATGACCCAAAATGCGGGGATGATGCTGGAGACAGGAGGCTGAGAACCATCACCCCAAGGCTGCCAAGTCATTCCCATCCCCTAATTCCCATCCCTAGGGCTCCAACCTCAGTGGAATCACTGCAAGTGAAACCTGTTTTGTTAAAAAAATACCCATTTCAGTCAGCTCTAACCAAGCAGAAGTGCAGGATACGGCTGGTTTTGGGAAGTGCAAGACAAGTTCTGGGTTTTGTTCTTTCTGGGAAAAGCTTAATTAAGGACGAAATGCCACAGTGGAAGTGTGGGGATGGACACGCACACCTCTCTCCCATCGACGATAAAGACAAAGTCCTTGGAGACCAGAGGAGAGGGTTCACCCCTCCAAGAGCCCTCAGCAGAGACATTTCAACCTAAAAAGTGCTTTTTCCTGAACGAATGTCCCTCATTTAACACTAAAAAAGAGACTTTCCCTAACCGTGCGACGGGGATTCAACACTAAAACATATTTTTCCCTTAGCGGGTGCCGGTCATTCATCGGGTGCCTCCTCAAAACGAGGTTTTCCCTGAGGGAGCGATGACCATTTAACACTAAAATACGTTTTTCCCACACCTCCTGCCGGTGACTTAACACTAAAAACAGCCTTCCCCTGCCGGAGCGCCGGTGATTTAACCCTGGAAAGGATTTTTTTTCGACGGCCGGGTCCCCCGGGGCGGCCGCGGCCCCTCCTCGCCCGCCTGACGCCTCCCCCGGCCGGGCGGCCATGGCGGCTCCGCGGCGCGGGCCCGGCGCGATGGCGGGGCCGGGCCCTGGGGCGGCCCCTCCGCGCCTGGCGCTGGCCCTGGCCCTGCTCGCCGCGCTGCTGGCCGTCAAGTACTACCGGGACACGGAGGCGGCGCGGCGGCAGGTACCGGGCACGGGCAGCGGGCAGGGGCGGGGACGGGCGGAGGGAGGGGGAATGGCGGCCTGGGCAGCGTGAGGGGAGGCGGCGGCCGCCGCGCTGAGGGAGCGGCAGCGGGCGGGCAGCGGGGCTGAGGGAGCCGCGGCCGGGCTGAGGGAGCCGCAGCGGGGCTGAGGGAGCCGCGGCCGGGCTGAGGGAGCCGCAGCGGGGCTGAGGGAGGGGCAGCGGGGCTGAGGGAGCCGCGGCCGGGCTGAGGGAGCCGCGGCCGGGCTGAGGGAGCCGCGGCCGGGCTGAGGGAGCCGCAGCGGGGCTGAGGGAGCCGCAGCCGGGTTGAGGGAGCCGCGGCCGGGTTGAGGGAGCCGGAGCCGGGCTGAAGGAGCGGCAGCCGGGCTGAGGGAGCCACCAGGAACCGGTGGGCACCGGGGCTGAGGGGGCTGTAGCCGGGCTGAAGTGACTGGCAGGCACTGATGGGTGTGAGGTGGCCACAGCCAGGCTGAGGTGGCCACCAGGCATCGATGGGTCCGAGGTGACCACCAGGCATTGATGGGTCTGAGGTGACCACCAGGCATTGATGGGTGTGAGGTAGCCACAGCCAGGCTGAGGTGGCCACCAGGCATCGATGGGTCCGAGGTGACCACCAGGCATTGATGGGTCTGAGGTGACCACCAGGCATTGATGGGTGTGAGGTAGCCACAGCCAGGCTGAGGTGGCCACCAGGCATCGATGGGTCCGAGGTGACCACCAGGCATTGATGGGTCTGAGGTGACCACCAGGCATTGATGGGTGTGAGGTAGCCACAGCCAGGCTGAGGTGGCCACCAGGCATCGATGGGTCCGAGGTGACCACCAGGCATTGATGGGTCTGAGGTGACCACCAGGCATTGATGGGTGTGAGGTAGCCACAGCCAGGCTGAGGTGGCCACCAGGCACCCACTGCCAGGACAATTGGGGTGGCCACCACTGGCTAAGAGGAGTACAGGCATTGCGGTTGCTGGAGTTGAGGTGGCCATAGCCAGGCTGAAGTGACCACCAGGCTTGAGGTGGTCACTGGGTGGAGGTGGCTACTGAGCTGTGGTAGGTGGCCACTGCCGGGCTAAGGCTCTGCAGGGCTGTGGTGGCCACTGGGCTTGAGGCAGCCACAGGGAGAGGGGTGGCCACCACCAGGCTGGAACCACCACAGAGCCACAGAGCTGTGGTGACCACCAGAGACCTCCTGAGACCAGCTGCCCCTGGCCCTGCTCTTAGCTCTCAATCTCACATCTCTGCCACAGCCTCCAAAGGTCACTGAGAAGCAGCAGAAGAAAGGAGGGTGTGAGCTGGAGAACAGGAGCTGTTTTTTCTCGGGTTTGTGTTTGGGGTTTTTGTTTTAAATGAGGCTGATTGACAGATTTTGATTGCAATCCGTGTAATTCCAGTGGCTGCGGGAGCTTTGGAGATCTCCTTTGTGGGAGATCACACCCCTGGCTCTGCGCTTCAGCCCCGAACATCTGAGGAGGTTCTGGGAAAAGAGCAGATTTCTTCTTCTTGATACCCCTCTAGTACAGAGAGAAGTGTTTTTTTAAAGGACACCTCTTCTCTTTGTCTCTTCTTGCCTTGCAAAAAGGGACAAATGGTTTAAACAAGTCAATTAGAAGAATTTTTCCAACAAGGACAGGAAGCTGAGGACAAGCTCCCAGCCTGACAGGTCTGATGAGGGTTTGTTTTTTCTGGAGGACAAGCAAACAGTTGTCACTGGGTGCTGCTGGAGAGGAGAACAAAATGTGAACAGCCCAGGGTTTTTATTTTTTTCTTCCTCTTGCTTCAAACATATGTCTTGTCTCTTTCTATGGAAATGTTTATTTAGCTGAACAACCCACAAGCAGGTGGGAGAGGAGAGCTCTTTGTGGAAACCACAGCTCTGTTCCTCTACAAAAACATCGGAACAGCTCGGTCCTACCCCTCTGGCACAAACAAGTTGTCTTCTTTCTAATTCCTGATTAAAATGAGAAAGGAAAAAAACAAGTTCTGGGAGCTTTCTTTAGTGTGAATATTACCAGAAAGCAAAAGGCCAAGCTCTGACATCTCTCTCTGCTTTTAAACATCGTTTTTGTCATCCCTGGTGTCCAAATGCAGCAGGACTGGAGTGTTCTCTGTGGGATCTTTTGTTCCTCTGTGGCTGGGGTTTTATCTCCAGCAGGGTGGGTTTTCCTGGGTCCCCTGCTGGGTGGTCATTGCTCAGCCCGTGGGTCAGTGCAGGTCAGGCTGTGGCTGTGTCTGGACACTGCCTTTGTCCAGCCCCTGTGATCCCACCTCGTGTCCTGCTGTGTCAGCCAGAGGTGTTCCCATGTCCCTGTGGGGCACAGCTGGCTCTCCTCCTGCCTCCAGCCCCACTCAGTGAGGGAAAAAAATAACTGTTCCACACATTCCAGCAATGCAAATTCCATCCCTCAGGGAGGGGAGCTGTGCCTGTGAAGTGCAAAATTAAGAGAGGCTCTAAAAGATCCATCAGCAGAGGAGTTGTGCTGTGGTGAGGAGAGCAGAGGCACTGGAGCATCCCTTCAGAGCTGGGCACACATCCAGAGCCTCCTGCTCCCTGCCAGAGCCCTGAGCTGGCTCCCAGACCAGCAGTGATGGCAGTTCACAGCCCCTGTGCCCAGCACAGGTGAGCTCTGGAGCTGGGAGAGGTCCTGAGCCTGGCACGAGGCCTGTGTGACCCTGGCAGATGTGGCAGCACCTGCAGGCAGTGCTCAGCAGAGCTGTTACCTGTTTGCAGAGCCAGGGATGCTCATCCCCATTCATTCAGGGAATAACAGCAGGTTAACTGGGGACAGTGGATTGTCCCTCTGCACAAATAACCATCTCCCTTCATTTTTTTCATGTCCTTAGCCATGTCCTCATCCAGATCTCCATTCTCAGTTCCAGGGTCTCTGTTTCATTCTGTCTCAGCCCTGGAACTGCCCTGGAAGGCTCTTAAGTGCTTTTGTAGCTGCAATTGATGGGAGCAAAGCCTTCCAGGCTGCATTAGTGCTGCTTCAGGCTGGCAGGCAGCAGATGGAAAATAAACTGGTTCAGGAGCTCTGGGGATGGTGCTGGTGGTGCTGCAGGCAGTGGAGAGCAGCAGAATGCAGAGTGTTTGTGCTCCCAGCTCCGGGGGTGGCAGGGCAAGCTGGTGGATCCTGGGGGACGTGCCAAGGGCTGGCTGGCACTGAGGGCTTTGTCTCGCCTCCTCTCACTCCACCCTGGAGCTCTTGCTCTGCCTCCAAGCTGTCCCTTTCCCTTCAGGCTGCGGAGTGGAAATGTGGAAGCATCCAGAGCCCTTCTGGGGCTGCTCCAGGGGAGACATCCCCTTGGTGAGCCCTGTGGGGGCTTTGCAGAGGGAGGAACTGAGGCACAGAGAAGCTGGGATCCTGTGGAAATTTCGGGAGAGGACCATGGGTTCTGTGACTCCCTGATGGATGGCTGAGGGAGCAGGGAGCCAAAATATTCCATGCAGTTTTGAGGCTGGAGATTTGGAGGGGCATTGACCAGAGCAGGGCAGTAATGCCAGTGTGGATCCCACCACAAATGGAAGTTTCTAATTCCAAGGGCTCAGCTCCCTCTCTTTGTGCTCTTGGAATGTGGTCCTCACATATTTGACTGCCTTTGTTTCACTGCACATCAGTTTATCCCAGCAATCACCACCTCCAGGTGCTCCCAATATCTGCAGGTTTAGGACTAACAAGCTGGAAAAAGTGGGGAATTTCTCTGTCAAAAGACACTGAATGTGAGCAGATGGTTCAGTTGGAATTATTCAGGCAGATGTAGGTTCAATAGCCTCGTGCCAGCAGTTCCTGGACAGGGATCCCTATTGCAGATAGCACCAAATCCTGCCAAGGGGCGTAAATCTTTCCCCTGGATATGCTGGGAAGAATGGGAATTAACTCCAGAGCAGCCAGACTTCTGCAGGAGGTTCCGATGAAATCTCACTTGCCTCTTCTTTCCAAACCAGGAGCTGGCTCTGAAGTCCTTGGGCAATGAGGGGCTGTTCCTCTTCTCTTCCCTGGACACAAACAAGGACCTGTACCTGAGCCCAGAGGAGTTCAAACCCATCGCTGAGAAGCTCACAGGTAGGTTCCTGTCTGCCTTCCAGAACCCTCCCTGCACACAGCCAAACATCACAAACTCCACAGCTTGAATTCACTGAATATTTCATTCACTTTATTGTTTTCTGCTGCTGCTTTGGGTCTTATTTACATGAAGAGAGGCTGTGAAGCTTTCCATGTTGTTGAAAAGGCTTAAGCACCAGACACCACTTTGACAAAGTGGAGTTTTTACAAGGTGGAGGATCCCATTGAGGGACTAGCAAAGTACATAAGTTACTTTGTCTGGAGCTTAAAGGGGATTTGGGATGGGTGAATGCAACAAATCCAGCTCAGGCCAGGCCAGGCCAAAAGCATCAGTGAGTCACAGTGTTCCATTCAGCTGGGGCAGCTCTCCTGGATGGCAGCTGTGGGAGATCATCTCTGGAGACTGTATCAGCACAGAGCAAGTGGCTCTGCTGGTGCCAGGCAGGGAGAAGTGTGGGGATGACAATGGACAGTGGGGACACACACAGGGTTTGCTTGTGCTCTCCTGGGCTGGCTCCAGCACGTGCTGGGATTGCTCTGAGGGGCTGGGAGTCTGCCTGGGCTTTGCAGTCAGGGAAGCAGGGAATCATGGAGTGGTTTGGGTTGGGAGGGACCTTAAAGCCCATCCAGTGCCATGGGCAGGGACACCTCCCACTGTCCCAGGCTGCTCCAAGGCCCATCCAACCTGGCCTGGGACACTGCCAGGGATCCAGGGGGAGCCACAGCTGCTCTGGGCACCCTGTGCCAGGGCCTGCCCACCCTCACAGCCAACAATTCCTTCCCAATATCCAACCTAAACCCACCCTCTCCCACTTTAAAGACGTTCATTCCTCTTTAGTTCATGCAGCCAGAGCTGGTCTGGGGGTGGGTCTGAGTTCTGCTGTGTGGGGACAGCTGGGAAACTCCCAGTGCTCCTGGATTTGCCAGGATAAATGTGTAATTGCAATTGCTTGAAAGGGGAGGGAGGGGAAGCAGCTGCTTGAATTCCTTTTGTCCTTTTGTCTAGGGGTTGCTCCAGTCTCAGAATCCGAAGAGGAGGAGACGCCAGATCCAGATGGGGAGACTTTGTCCATCGTGGCCAAATTCCAGCCCTTGGTCATGGAAACAATGACGAAGAGCAAGGACGGTTTCTTGGGAGTAGGTGTCCTGCAGGCCACAAATTCTGGGATAAACATGTCTGGTGGGCTGGGAACAGCACCAGGAATACATTGGGAGGGGACATGGTCCTGCTGAATCCCATGGGATTTGCTGTGACAGGGACCTCGCTGCCTCCCTCAGCATTTCAGGGTTTCTGCGCACTCAGCAGCGCTTGCCCCGCTCAGAACTCCCTTCCTGGGAAGCTGGGAGCAGGAATTAGAGCTGGCTCTGCCTCAGCTGAGTGCAGAAGCAGTGGTGTTACGTGCCATGTTCCCCTCTCCTCTGTTTCTCACATTCTTGAAGGCTGACAGAACTGTTTGGCGGGCTAAGAAGAATTTGGGATGTGATATGTATTTTTTTCCCCCCTTTTCCAAAGGCTCCCTGCATCCATGACATCACTGCACATTGGGAGACTCCGCTCTGGGCTCTGACAGCATCTTCTGTTCACAGATTTCCCACGTGGCTCTGTCTGGGCTGAGGAACTGGACAGCCCCAGCAGTCCCTATGAGTGTCCTGCTTGCCAGGCAGTTTAAAGCCTTTCTCCCTCCAAAGAACAATCTGGATCTTGGGGATCCGTGGTGGATAATTCCCAGTGAACTGAACATCTTCACTGGGTACCTCTCCAACAACAGGTTTTACCCTCCACCTCCCAAGGGCAAAGAGGTGAGATATGAAGCTCAGATTTTATGTGAAAATCCTGGATTTTCTAAGGAAGCAGGAATTCTGTAGTGTGTAGCCAGGAGCACCTAAAGTGGAGGTAAAGCTGAGAGCAGGCCAAAGCTCTGGGTGTCTGTCACAGCCAGATGAGGCTGACTGGAGCAACTTCATCTTGTTTGTTAGTTGTGTGGGGTTTGAGGATAGCTTTTTCCCAGAGAGGGCTATTCAGAAAACACCTGTGTGGTCATTCCTGGTGGAGCAGTGGCCACCTGAGCCTTCAGGTGACGAGTGGGACTCTGTGTGTGCTCAGCAGGTGAAGCCTGGCTGTGCATCCCCTCCCCTGGGGCTGGTGTAACTGAGCCTGGTGGGATCCGTGATTGCACTCCCACCCCTTCCAAGGCTGAAGCACTGGTGGAGGCAGCCTTGCACATCAGTTTGCTGTTCTGCCTGGGCTGGTGGAGAGCTGCAGAGCACGGGTGTAGCACAGGAAGCGTGGAAGATGGATTTATTTGTGACAGCAGTGCCTTGCTTTGTCTCCTCGGCGTGTGATTAGGTCGGTCTCTGAGCTGGGTGATAAATCACAGCCATTCTCTCACCCTCCTGCTCAGGTTGGGGGGTTTACTTTGGAGCTGTGTGGAGGAGCAGTTCTCATTCTTGCTCCTCCAATTCCTTCTCCAGGTGCTAATCCACAGGCTGCTGAGCATGTTCCACCCACGGCCCTTCGTGAAGACGCGCTTTGCCCCGCAGGGAGCCGTGGCCTGCATCCAGGCCAGCAGCAGCTTCTACTACACCATAGCATTCCGGTGAGCCCCAGGGGCTGGGGACACCCCTGGGGGACACCCTGAGCCTGTCCCCCGTGCCAGGGGAGGGCAGGAGGCTGCTGGGAGCCCCTGGCAGAGGGCACAGGAGTGGTGGCACCGTGCAGGGTGTTCCCAAGGGACACCAGGACTGGTGTGGCTGGCACAGAGGGGAGGGTGCTTCAAGCCAAAAGTCACCTGTGCTGCCAGTGGCACTCTGTCCTCATGCAGGACATCACCTTTCCACTACCCCTGCTTCACAGGGGAGAATCTGGCTAGCAAGAATTTTGTTAGATTTAGGTTATTCAGGGGGTGGAGTGTGTTTTACTGGGAGTGTTACACGCAGCTTTTATGTGTCAGGTCAGGCTGGAGTGGGGGCTAAAGGGGTTTTGTTCTGTCCCTGTGTTTCAAGGAATGATAAAGTATTTCATCGTTCTTGGATGCCCAATTCCAGAAGGTGTGGATACTGGAGATGCTCCTGACCCAGGGCATCTGTTCCAGTCTTTCACCCTCTTCATTGTGTGACATGAAAAGATTTCTAAGCTCCACCTCACTTGCCCAGTTTAGATTCAGAATTTCGGGTGCCTGGAGACAGCTTTTCCCTGCAGTGCAGGATCCCAGCTGATGGCTCCTCTCTCCTTTCAGGATCCACGCTGAATTCCAGCTGAATGAGCCACCAAACTTCCCCTTCTGGTTTTCCCCAGGACAGTTCACAGGTTACATTGTCCTGTCCAAGGACTCTTCCCACGTCAGGGACTTCAGGCTCTTTGTTCCTAACAACAGGTACAGCTGCTTCCCTCTCATTTCTTGGAAAATCTGAGTGATTTGAGCTCTGCAGCTGCTTGTAAATGCATTTCTGCATCACTGAGCATCCCTGACCTATCCAGGGCCTGATTCCCTCCCCAGTGACTGTCCCCTGGAACTGGGAGGATGGGGAGGGACGGGCAGGGTGTGGCAGGACTGGCAGTCCCTGTTCCTGCAAGCACCGAAGTTCAGCAAGGCCTGATGCTCCTCCTCCAGATTTTTTGCTCGGAGTCTCACAGGTTAAGGTTTTGTGTGCAGAGCTTTGCAGCAGCTCGTTCCTGCTCTCTGGCAAGGAGCTGGGAGTGTTTCAGGGGGAAGAAGCTTCAAATCTCTTTGCCCATGACAGGAGTGGAAATTTATTACAATGTTACCCTGGCGACTCAACCCCAGTGGCTCTGTCAGCACTTTCCTTAACAGCCAGCACTGCCAGCAGCCTTTTACATCCAAAAAAACACTTCTTAAAAGTTCAGCAGGATCAGAATTTGCGAGTGAAGTGCTGGGAAGGAAGAGGGAGCAAAGACATCTCTGTCATTTGACAGAGCTCAGAGGTGTTGAGTGCGCTTTCCCAGAGTGCTGGGTGGGTGCCTGGGCCCTGCTGCTCCTGGGCTGGTGCAGGGAGCACAGAGCTCTCCAGAGGCTCTGGGTTCAGTGCTGACCCTGCAGAGGATGTTCCCGTTTGTTTGGGGTTCCCCAGCTTTAGCCCTGGGTGACTCTTGGGTTCCCCGTGCAGGTCCTTGAACGTGGACATGGAGTGGCTGTACGGGGCGAGCGAGAGCAGCAACATGGAAGTGGACATTGGATACCTGCCCCAGGTCTGTGCCCTCTCCTGGTGCTCCACACGAGCCCAGCTTCTCCTCAGGGCTTTGTGCTGCCACAGCCCTGAGCTGTGGAGCCTCTGTGACTCCATTCCTTAGAGCCTCTCTCAGTCATTTCAGTACAACAGTACAGTTTAGCTGTGTGTGCCCTCTGCAGCTGTGTGGCTGTTCCCAGTTCTTGTGATATTTCCCTTTTTCCCCTCAGTGTGGGTTGAATCCTTTTTCCTCTTTCCTTTTTTAAAACATTCCCTGACAGGCAGGAGGGAAGATGAGGAGCTGAACCCAGGCCCTGAGCCCAGAGCAGGGTATGAACAGCAGTGGGTCTGGATTTAGAGACTGCACGAGGTTATTCCCCTGTTTTGTGGTAATCCCAACTCTTGGGACAGGAAACACAAGTCAGAATTCTGAATGCCTGAATTCAACAGGCCTGTTTTCTCCTGAACTGGAGTCATGTTTATTTTTAATTGGCAAAAGTCAGGAAAGCAGATTTAGCAGAATAATTTCAGCTGTACCAGAACACGAACCACAGGGAAGCTCCTGGGCAGCTTTTCCTGCTGCTCCCTCTTGTGGCTTCCCAGAGGCAAGAGCTTCCAGTTAGCCCAGCAGATCCTAATGACTGAGAAGATCTGGTGTCCCACAGTCAGCAACCTCCACGGGGAAGGTGGGAGAATGGAGTCTCTGCATTTCCAATCTAGTGAGCACAGCCACACCGAGGGAAATGAAGTTCATTTCCTGGTAAAATGCAGCTCCAGGAGATGGGAGATCAAGCTGTACTTTCATTAGGAGATTTGGGATCTGTGTCCTGTCCTGGAGCGCAGGAGAGGGCTGTGTGCAGGGTCCAACCCAGCCTGTTCCCTGCAGATGGAGCTGGAATCCACAGGGCCTTCGATCCCCACCGTGATCCACGACGAGAACGGGAACGTCCTGGACAGCAGGGACCCCTCGGGGGAGCCCATCCAGTTTGTGTTCGAGGAGATCACCTGGCAGCAGGAGATCTCCTGGCAGGAGGCAGCCCACAGGCTGGAAGTGGCCATGTATCCATTTAAGAAGGTGAGGAAGGGGCTGGGCTCTCCTTGGCACATTGATTTGGGGCAGATTGTGCCATCCAGTGACCTGGAGGGCCTTCATAGTCCCGAGGCCACAGCCTGAGCAGCATCCAGGGCGCTGGGAGGCTGTCCCAAGGTGTTTGGGGTCACACAGCAGCACAGGCAGCAGCAAAGCTCCATGTCAGGTGTCCCCAGGATTGCACTGTGAGTGTAGGCTCATCCTTCCTGCCTCTTACCAGTGGCTGCTGCTGATTTTGGAGCAGGCAGGTAATTGTGCTGCTAACAGACAGTTTTTTCCTCTGGCATCACTTCTATAGCACCCAGGTGCCTCTGGACCAAGCTTTCCTTATCAGCAGAGAACACAAGGTCTGCCTGAGCCTCTGCAGCCTTCAGCCAGACACAGATTTATAGCTCTGGGTGACCCAAACTATTTAACATGCCAGCAGCCTGTGGAGCAGATGGGTACTGCCTGTCACTGCTTCCTTGGCTGAAGGGACACGTTTTGGTGGCTGCCTCCTTGTGCCTGAGCTTACAAACGTCCCTTCAGGCTGCCAAGATGTTAATACCAGTTCCTTTCATTGGAGTGATTGGAGCAGGCTATGTGCAGGCTCCCTCACAGCCAGTTCTCAGGCTGTTTCAGGAGATTTGGTAATAAATAGCTCAAGGCCAGATTTCCCAGCAGCTGAGGTGGGCTTGCAGACAGCCTGGCCACCCTGGTGCAGATGTTCACTGCAGTGTGTAACATCAGGGCTCTGCAGGTGCCAGAGACAGAGGGACCACAGCACAGCTGTCACTTGTTTAAATCTGCAGGTCCTGCTGCAGATGGAGCTCTGTGTGTGTCACCCCTGGGTCTGGTTCCTTCAGAGCTGCTCCTGTTGGAGCTGGGCTGTTCTGTGCCTGTTCCTCACGCTGTCCCTCTGCCCCCAGATCTCCTACCTGCCCTTCACAGAAGCCTTTGAGAGAGCACAAGCAGAGAAGAAGCTGGTGCACTCCATCCTGCTCTGGGGTGCCCTGGACGACCAGTCCTGCTGAGGTGAGGACATCCCCAGTGTGGCTGGAGGGATGGTGTGAGGAGAGCTGGGGCTCAGGAGGCAGCAGTAAATGTTGTGTCACTTGTTTTGGCTCTGGAGGTGCTGAACAGGCACAGGCTGGGAGTGGGGAATTAATTACTGGTGTCAGCTCAGCTGCCCAGTGGCAGCACCAGCTCTGAGACAAGTTGTGAGTCAGGTGCCTTTGTCGAGGTCAGGTCTTTCCCCTTTTTCCTGCTGGGGGAGAGGCAGCACTGGCAGGGAAAAGGGGCACTGCTGTCTCTGCCTTGTCCCTGGCACCTGCACAGGAGAGGCCAGAGCCTGGCCTTGGGGCTGTCCCAATGTGCAGCTTTTCCCCCTCAATGGCTGAGAACTTCTGTGCCACATTGGGCAGGAGGGGAAGGGTCTCTTCAGTCCTGTCTGCCCTGAAAACCCCTCAGCACTGGGCTGTGCTCAGCATGAACAGCAAGGGGCACTCGGGGTGGCTTCCATGGCTGACTTCTCCTGTGCCTGGCTTGGGCTCTGCTCTGCCGAGCCCTCCCTGCCAGCAGCACCTGTAGGGAACAAAAGCCATTGAAAAACTGCCAACAACGGAGCAAAAAGACAGTGGGGAGGGCTGGGGGCTCAGCAGGTGGCATCGAGTGTGGTGACAGTGACCTCAGCAAAATCTCCTGTGCCTCTTCCTGTGCCAGGTTCGGGGCGAACTCTCCGGGAGACCGTCCTGGAAAGTTCGCCCATCCTCGCCCTGCTGAACGAGAGCTTCATCAGCAGCTGGTCCCTGGTGAAGGAGCTGGAGGAGCTGCAGGTGAGGCTCACACTCTGCTGGGGGTGCCAGGAGAGCTCCCACCTGTTCCAGGGGGGATTTTTGTTTCAAGCCCTCCCTGTCCTCGGCCACCACAGGGGCCAGGCAGACAGCAGATGGAGGCAGGCTGAGGAGTGGCACAGTGACCCCCTTGGCTCCGTCCTGCTGCCAGGTTTAAAGCTAAACCAGATGCTTCTCTGTGAGACAGCCCTGCCCAAGGCCTCTGGTGCCATCAACCAACTGACTCCCCTGCAGCCCAGGGGACAAACAAATAACCAAATAACTGTCTGAACCCTAAGGCTCCTGATGGAGCCTTTCCCCACTTCTGAGGCTGTGCTGTCAGCGGGGATCAGTCACAGAGCTGGAGACTCTGGGAAAGGCTGGGATCAGACTGTTGATGTGTCTGTGATGGGGTGATTTTATTGTCTGGGGAGAAAATCTGCAGCTGAAATGAGAGAGGGAGCCTGAAAGGGAATGGGAAAGCAGCCCGTGAGAATGGTACCAGTTACCACTACACTGCAAAGCAGCTCTCTGGTCCCTCCCTCCCTCTCTCCTGTGCTCTGTGTGTTCCCCCTGTCCAATTCTGCCACTTCTGGGCTGTGCAAACGTGTGGTTTTGGTATCTCCCTGCAGAGCAACAAAGAGAACGAGTTCTACAGCAAACTGGCCGAGCTGCACCTGGAGAAATACAACTTCCCTGTGGAGATGATCATCTGCCTCCCCAACGGCACGGTGGTAGGGCTGGGCTCTTCCCCAGGGAATGTGTTCTCTGCACGGCCTCCCAGACCTGGGGCTGCCCCTTGAGCCTTTGTCCCTTTACCCAGAAATCTGAAACAAATGTATTTGTATTCAGAGACAGACCAGCAGCAGCTCTGGGCAGGGGCAGAACAGACTTGAACCAAGTGTGATTCCTGACCTTTGGAAAGCCACTGTAGCTTTGTTTCCTGCACCCATGGCCCTTTGTGCTCATCCTCTGAAGAAAATCTCCTGATCAGGACCTTCCAGCACATTTATCTCTCTTGACTCCCCAGAGTGCTGCCAGCAGCTCAGCCATTAGTGATCCCACACACTCCCCAGCAGCCCCCACTGCCCTTCCCCCCTGCATTTGGGGAACAGCTCCTGACTCTTGGCAGCCTGGTGCTGTCTGTGTCAGCTGCTGGGCTAATCCTGCCCAGACACCAGCTGGTCACACCTGCAGGGTCCCCTCGCTGTCCCCACGAGGCTGTGGGCTGTGACAGACCTCAGCAGCCACAATGGGTCAGTGTCCCCCTTTTCCCAGCTCCGTGGGGCAGCAGGAAGTGTTGGAAGCTCGAGTGCTGGTTTTGCAGCTCCATCTCCCCAACTCTTGCTCACAGACACGATCTGAGCCTCCCAAAATCACCTTCATCATCTTCTTAACCTAAGCAAAGGGTCAGCACCCCTGGGGGGAAGATCACACATTTTTCTCTGACTGGGAAATTCAGACCTGAATTCTGGTTCCTGAATTAGCATTTGCAAAGAATTAGATATTCTGTAAGAGCCTTGTTACCTCTGTCCTGGCTGCAGGCCATGGCAGAGGATGGGGAATTGTTCTGGCCCTTAAAAGTCTCCTCTCATCTGTTTTCTTTGCCAGATTCACCATATAAATGCCAACTATTTCCTGGACATTACTTCTATGAAGCCTGAAGATGTTGAAAGCAGCATCTTCAGTTTCTCAAGCAATTTTGAAGACCCTTCAACTGCAACTTACCTCCAGTTCCTGAAGGAAGGGCTGCAGAGAGCAAAACCGTACCTGCAGCCCTAAAAGCAGGCACCTGAATGCCCCACTGAGATGGCCAAAGACTTCAGAGATCTATTTTGATTACAGCAAATCCTCCTCATCTCCATGCCAGACGTTGGTGTTGAACTGCAGGCAGTCCCGGGCCGGGGCTGTGCTGTGGATCTTGGTTTGAGGCTGAGTTCCAGGTGGTACCAATTTACACAACCTGCCCTTTTCAGTTCAGGCACATTTTTACAGGAGTGAAAAATACTTGAATCCATTCCCAGTGCACTTGCCTGGGCGTGCCACCCACCCTCATTTGCTGGCAGCTCCCATTCAGACTGGTGAAACTGGTGTGACCCCAGAACTGCTGATGGCCGGGACTTGCCGAGCGCGGGGAGCAGCACTGCCATTCCGACCGAACACTCGTGGTGAGGACACAGCCAGCACCCTGCTCCCACCCTGGGGCCAGCCTGGTGTCCTGTGGCAGCTCTGGCTGGCAGTGACAATCTGTGTGACAGGGCTGGGAGCCAAGGATGAGCTCTGGGCAGCCCTGTGTGCCCTGCTGGCCGCTCTCAAACAGGGTCTATGCCCCTGAGGGAGGTGCTGAGGGTGGCACCGGGGTGTTCAGGTTTGGTGCAGCTCAGAGGGCTCAGGTGAGGATCAGTTTGAGCCCCCAGGAGCTCCCCCAGTGTCCCACCCATCCATCCCTCCCAGGGCTCCCTCCCCAGCAGCTCTGGGAGCTTCTCCCGGTGTCCCCTTGGAGCTGGAGCCCTGTCCCAGTTTGCTTTGAGCTTCCAGGTCGTGCTGGGTGAGGAACCATAAGGTTCCCTGTGGGAGCTGCCCTGAGAGCATCACCTGGGTGAGAACCGGGCAGTTCTAAAAGCCAGAAGTACAAAGAGATATTTTCAGGAATTTTTTCCCAAAGAGATTGTTCAGACATGAAGCCATTATCCCTTACCTGAAGTCACCCTGAGCAGTTGCTCCTGCTCTGTGCCAATGCCTGGATACAGAGTGAGCCTTGTTTTGTAATTTGGGGAAGGAAAGGTTAAGTGAAAGGGGTTTTAGGACATATTCCTACAGGCACGTTGAGGAGACAAAGCATCTTCAGTAGCTGCCTGCAGCCAGCCCTGGCTGGTGATGCTTTTTCTGCTCTCTGAAGCACAATTTTGTTGGACCAAATCAAATTAAGGGAAAAGCCTTTTCTTTTTTCTTTTTTTTTTTTTTAATAAGGAATTTTTCTTTCCTGGGCTCCAGGTCCTGGGAGGAGCCTGGGGGTGGCAATTACCCTGTCCCCACCCTGCCCCAGCCTTCCTGTCCATACCTGAGCCTGGAGACTGAGCTTAGCTGCACCTCTGGGCTGAACCAGTGCCACTTCACTAATTGCTCTAGTGAGATTAATTAATGGCCCCGGGATGTTTCTCAGTGTTGGCTTTGTAACTATGCATTAGCTGTGCACTTTCTCACACTCCAGCGTGCCAGGCTGTGCTCTGGCCGTGCCAGAACCTCCAGGGAGCATCGGAGACAGGTCCTGTGCTCGCTTCGGGGCCTCGGATCCCTGCAGGGCTCCAGCTCGGAGGAATCCTGTGGGATCCTCCCGTGAGCTCCTTGCAGCCAGCTCCGAGCGCTCCCGGGGGAAGGGGATGAGTCTGGACAGTGGCAGAGGGAGCCCCAAAGCCACCCCCGAGCTGGAGCAGCCTGGGGTATCCCGAGGGCTCCCGGGGGACCCGCCCGTGTCCCTTTGTCACCGGCCCTTCGCTGCCGTGGGCTCTGCGGGCTGACACTCCATCGCTCCCCCGGTGCCAAGCGTTCGGTTCTCTCTGTACATCGGCTGCTGCCGCCTCCCCTCCGCGCCTTGTGACGCCCTGGCCCGAAACCGGCGGCGGGCCCGGGCCGATGTCGGCCGGGAGGGGCGGCGGAGCGGCCCCGGTAAAACCATCCGTGCATCCTCCAGCTCGGCCTCCGCTCTCCTTCCTCCGCCGGGGGCTGCGGGAGGGCGGGGGGCGAGCGGGTGACCCCAGTGTCCCCTTACACCGGGGTGTCCCCAGTGTCCCCCCTGTACCGGGGTGTCCCCAGTGTCCCCCCTGCACCGCGGTGTCTCCTCGCTGTGCCCCTTCACGGAGATGACCCTCACGAAACCCCCTGCACTTGGGGCGTCCCCAGCAGTCTTCTCGCTGTCCCCGGAATGTCCCCTGTCTCCTCTGTCCCCTGGGCAGTCTCCTGTCCCGTCCCCTGTCCCCCGTGTCCCTGTCCTGTCCCCGGTGTCCCTGTCCTGTCCCCGGTGTCCCGGTCCCTGTCCCGGCGCATGCGCGCTGCTGCGGAAGGCGCGGGGCGGGCCGGGTTTGTGGTTCCGGGCGATGGCGGCTGAGGGGCCGCTCCCGGCGCTGGCAGCGGGGCCGAGCTGCGCCGCCGCCCCGCAGGTACCGGGGGGCTCGGGGGGCTCCGGGGCGGCCGGGCCGGGCCCGGGGCGCTGCCGCAGCCGCTCCTTGTGTGTTGCAGTGAGCAGACGCGGCGGGGTGCGATGAGCGGCCGGCGCTGAGCCCAGCGGAGATGGACGCGGAGGCCGTGAGTGACACGGGGCCGGGACACCGGGGCGCTGCCGCTGTCCCCTGCCCCTTCCCCGGGCACCTCCCAGCGCCAGCCCCGGGCTCCTGTCCCGGGAACCGCCCCAGAGCGCTGTCCCCAGCTCAGAGCCCGGGGTGAAATGTTCCTCGGGAGCCGCGGGTGTGTCAGCGCTAAATCCGCTCCCGGCCGCGTTCTGGGCTCAGCCATTGTGCCCTGCTCTGCTCCTGTGCTGCCTCCTGCCACGGCAGCCTGGCACTGGCACAGCTCTGGGCCTTTTGGATCCACTTCACGAGTGTCCAGAGAGCTCTGGAACAGCTGATCTTTCTGAGAACGCTCTCCAAGGCTGCTCCCCGTGGCCCTGGGCCACAGACTTGTCACCCAAGGAATGTTCAGCCTGATTCCAGAACGGGTCAGGTGGGAAGGGAGCGCTGGAGGTGCAGGCCCTGCTCAGGCAGAGCCTCCTAGAGCAGGTTCCCCAGCATGGTGTGCAGTATCTCCAGGGAAGGAGACACATCTGCCCTGGGATATTTAACAGTGCTGTGAAAGCAGGAGTGTCCCTTGAATGACACTTCATTTTGATGTCATTTGCCCCCTGGGCCCTTGATGTGTTGCTGTTTTCCTCCTTTTGCCAAGTCTTCCTTTGTGAAAATGCCTGTTGACAGTGCCTGTTACTGGGTGCTTTTAGTTTTCAGTCCTGAGAACACTACACCCATGTTCTAAATGCCCCTGCAGCTGCCTGGCTGTCACCTGTGCTCAGCTGAACACACATTTGTGAAATGGGGACCTCAGTTATCAGCAGATTCTCAATTAAAAGTGGAGATAAAAAATCAGAGATCAGACCTTGACAGCTTAGGAGGATTTCCAGTTTAATGAATTTCAAGAAGGGCACTGACTGGAGATATTAACTGTGTGCTGTGGGTTCTTGTAGACCATCCCCATCTGGCAGAACAAGCCCCATGGCTCAGCTCGCAGTGTGGTCAGGATGATCGGCTCCAACCTGCCCCTGAAGCCCTGTCCCAGGGCCACCTTCGAGGTGAGTGACCCCTGGGCCTGGGGGTGGCAGGAGGAGCTGGGGCACGACAGGGCACTGCCATCAGATGCTGTTTTGCCCCCACACATCCACAGAGTTGTAGCCACAAAACCTGCACCAGTACACTTAAGTTAAAGAATTTAATTTTTTTTTATTCTTTTTTTCTTGCATTCTGTTCTTGTAAAGTGATCACTGGCAACCTGAGGAAATCCCTGCTCAGGCAGTGTCTGAGCTGGAGGAGATGGAAGGGTGGAGCTGCTGCCCCAGGGCTTTGTTGTGTGACCTCCAAGGAGCCTGGTGTCCTCTGGGCCTGTTCCCAGGGATTGTCCCTGACGTCACCCCTGGAGCTCAGGGCTGGCACTCAGTGCCAGAGTGTTGCATGTGGCCTGGATCAGGTGTCCCCTCCTGCCTCAGACACACAGCAGGAAGGAGCAGGAGCTGACCCAGGGAAGCACAGCAGTTCTCAAACCCAAAGGATTTACCTGCCAGCTCAAAAAACATGAACAACTGTGCAAACTAAAGGAAACCTGCTGGAATTGCCGCTGTGCATGTGCCAGACAGTTGCTGAGGACAGGGGCTCTGACAGCCCACCTGGGGCAGCTCCAGGAGAGCAAACAGCATCTCCTTAGCAGTGTTTCCTTCTTGCCAGGTTCTGCCAAGTGTCTCAGATCTGTATTTGGGTGATGTGCCCCCCGTGCCCACCTTGGCCGACATCGTGTGGATCGCTGCGGACGATGAGGAGACCTACGCCAGGGTCAGGTGGGTTTCCACCCCCTGGTTTCTGGCCCAGAGCTCAGGCCAGACACTGTTCAGACAACCACAGCCTCCAGTCCCCTCAGGGTCTGAGGGGTGCCTCTTGAAAGATGTTTTTCCTAAAAGGAGGGGGAAAAAAATGACAAAGTTCCTGGAGAGGAATTCCTGTAGGAAGTGCCAGGAGCCTGTGCCAGCCCTGTTTCACTCACTGGTTGGTGCAGAGAAACCCCTGCTCCAGAGCATTTTCTGGGCAGTAAATGGAAGGGTTGAGTTCTCCCAGGACTGAAATGCCTTCTCCAGCCTGGCCTTGGACACTTCCAGGGATCCAGGAGCAGCTGCAGTTTCCTGTGTTCCTTGTGCTGCAGAGAGCACATCTGCCCCTCTGGTGGGACACAGAGGCTTCATTTGTTCTGTTGGAGGCTCTGCTGCCCTCAGGGGAGGCCAGGCTTTGTCATGGAGAGGTTTGGACTTGGTGACCGAAGGGTTTTTGTCCCCAGAAGTGACACTCGCCCGCTGAAGCACAAGTGGAAACCCAGTCCCTTCACAGTGATCCAGAGAAATGCCTCAGTGCCCAACCTGAGGAAGCAGGAGGAGAAGCTGCTGGCCCTGAAAAAGCCTGGTTTGCCAGCCCTGAGCAGGACCACAGAGCTCCAGGATGAGCTGAGTCACCTCCGGAGCCAGATCGCAAAGATCGTGGCTGCAGAGTCAGGTAGGATGGTGATTTCTGCTGGGGGCTGAGCTCTGCTGTTCCCTCCAGGCTCACTCAGGGCTGTTTCCCAGCAGCTCCCTTGGTGGGATGTTGGCTCTGGGGGAAGCTCAGGGGCCGTGTTCAGGTTTATATTCCGTTGTGTTGGGGAAAAGCCGCCCCACGAGGTTTGCTGTGAGTTCACCCATCCACCTCTTGTTTCCTCTCCCAGCCTCTGCCCAGCTGACACCAGACCTGTTATCTCCAGGGAGCTCAAATGCCTCTTCTCCTGTACATTGTTTTGGACCCTCTTTCCAGTCCACCACGTCCTTTGTGATCAGCGACATCACGGAGGAGGAGGCAGAGCTGGAGAGCCCCGAGCTGCCCTCGGTGGCCGAGCTGCCCTCGGTGGCCGAGCTCTGCTCCGCCTCCGAGAGCTGCAGGCCAGAGCCCAAGGACCCCGATGAGGAGGACTCCGTGTCCCTCTCCAAGGCCAGCAGCTTTGCTGACATGATGGGAATTCTCAAAGACATTCATAGGATGAAGCAGAGCAAAGATTTGTAAGTGCTTCCTGAACTTCTCCTTTTGCTTTGTGTCAAATCCTGGACACGGTGCTGGCTGCTGCTTTGTGGCCTTCGTTCCTGGGGGAAATGCCTGCTCAGAGCAGAACTTGGTAACCCATTCCTGGGCTTTTTGCCTTTCTGGGATAGGAAATAATGGAGAATTTTCATGGGGGAAATATCTCTTTGGAGTAGAACTTTGTCACACATTCCTGGTTTCTTTTGGTTTTGTTTTTTCCTGGGTAGGAAATAGCGGAGGGGAATTTAAACTGCTTATCCCGAGGTTTGACTGTTCCAGCTTGTTCACCTGACAAAAAGCTGTGTTTGGCCAGATGCACAGCAGCCCTGTGTGTGTTGGCAGCTTTCAGAGAGAGGAAAGTGCTGTTCTTAGCCCACCTCACATTCCCAGGCAGTTGGGAAGCTCAGCAGCTTTTCCAACGTGGAGCGTACAGGGATTGAACACGTGGAGCTTCTCAGCTTCTGTGCTTCTTCATCTGGCCCAGCTCTGGGCGTGGGCAGGGTGAGTTTGCACTTGTCTCATGAGGAATTGACAAGTTCTGATCATGAGAACTCCTGAAACTGCTCCATGGACAAGATCCTGCCCAGCTGAGAAAGTCCCTTCTCTGGTTCTGGCTGTGCCACCTGCCTTCCACACGCTCAGATCTCAGTGCTGGAGCTCAGTCTCCACGTTTTTCGTTCTGTTGTGTGAGATTCCTGGCCAAAAATACCACACTGGGTGGTGGCTGTGCACAATTGCTGCTTCCTAATTTGGTTTGAAAGGAATCAGATTGTCAGCACTGAAAAAATTAAAGTCAGATGAGAGGAGCACGCTCAGCTTCCACACCCAGAGCATCAGGGGGTGGCACACCTCCACCCCTCACAAAATTCACCCCTTTGTTGTGGTTTTTCGGAGGGGAGCTGCCAGATCCTTCTTCCTGGGGTCCAGGGTGTGCAGAGGGAGCCCAGGACCCATCCTTGGCTGATTATCCAGAGCTGGGCCCTGCTCCTGCAGGGAATGCTGCCACACCAAGGCTGCAGCTGAACCATTTTCTCCCTCATCAGCTTCTCTGCCTCAGCCTCTCCTGCACTCAGCAATGATGGCTTGAGGTTATTACAGCTCAATTAAAGCTATCTGAAGAGTTGCAGGTAGCTGAAAAATTAAGTTAATTACAGATGTTCATTATTTGATGAGCTTTAATTCCTAATTCTGAGCAGCCCCTGTGCTCCCCCAGCTGTACTGGGCAGCACTGGGAAGCCTGAAGAGGGTCAGGTGCTCTTCAAGTGGAGGAAAAAAGGTGCTTCAAGATGCAAAAGATGCTTGAAAAGATAATTACATAGACATTTCTCTGCTGCTGCTGTGTGGGACTCAGTGTTTAAACTCAGCCTTGGTGTTTAAACTCAGCCTTGGTATTTAAACTCAGCTTTAGAAGCTTCAGGAACGAGTGAGGAACTTGCAGAAATGTCTCTGTTTCAGCAAATGTGAACTAAAGCCTGTTCCAGTGTCTGGTGGAAATATTCCAGGGATTTTTGGTGGTCTTTTATCTTTTAGGAATGTTTAAAGCTCCCATAATGTTTTCTGAGTGGGGGGGGGCTTCAGCTATGAAAGAAATAAAGTTCTGAGGTTATTATTACAGGTTATAAACAAAATCATGGTACCTGAGGGAAAAGAACTGCGGTTTGGCCTCCTGTAAAAATAATCTTCTAAAAGGAGCTGCTTGTGTGAACTTGTTGAGGGAGGCAGATTGCCCTGAGAACAGGAGAACTCGTGTAGTGCAAGGAAATCTGCACTTTAAAATGCCTGGAATGTCCCAGATTGGAATAAGGAAGCAGAAATCTATAGTGCAACAAAATTAATGAAAAAAAAACCCAGACACTTCCAGGACTTTCCCCCAGACACCTCACTGAGGGTTGATTTATATGGAGGAGATGTAGGCTGTAAGTAATTAATGAAGTTTTGGGTTGATTGCTTGGTATCAGCACAGTGGAATAAGAATTACCCAGAGCTTTGAGGATGAGATTTCCAGGATCCCCCTGGAGCCACAAAACGAGCTCCAGGTGAGTTCCTGCTTTTCCAGCCCGACACCAAAGGGCTGAATTTTCCCTGTTTTTGTTGTTTTGTGGTGTTTTTCTTGCACCTCCTACACTTGTAACAGCATCTCAAGATAAAAGCTGCAGGAGAGCACTGGAGAGACTCTGTTAATCAGGAATTCTGGCTCCTGTCTGGGCTGATTCCCAGTGCTTTTATCCCCCTGCAGGAACCGCCCTTCCATGAAGGAGGAGGACCCGGCCGTGCTCATCGCCGAGGTCCTGAGGAGGAAATTTGCCCTGAAGGATGAAGACCTGGCCCTGAAGGAGAAGTGATGCTGCTGTCACTCAGCTCTGTAAGCAAAAGCATTTATGCTCCCAAAATCTCCTCCACAGTAGCTGCCTTCTCCTAAGGATCGAGCCTTTTGCCTCTTTTATTCATCAGACGTGGTTTGTGCACCGGACACTCGGCTGGGAGAGACCCTTTGGATTTGATGTGTTTTTCCACGTGTTGTTCTATTTAAGAAAAACCTTTTTAAGAAGATGGAAGCTTTTATTTTTTTCCTTTTTCCCCAGCTGTGTTTTGCTGTTGGTGACTGGTGAGGATCTCCTGGAGATGAAGCTCTTTCTACCTTGCACTTTTCCTTAGGTTCCAGTTAAGCATTAAGCTGTGAGGATAGAAGCAGTTCCCATGTCCAGTGTGAGCAGGACAAACCCTCCAGTCCTTCACCCTGAGTGTGGCACAGAGCTGCTGAGAACGAGTTCATGAGTGTTTCCAGCTCTCCAGGGGGCTTTTGGGGGCTGTTGGATCATGATGGGAAAAGGTGTTTCTTTCCCCAAAACCCCCCTGGCTCGTGTCTGAGGGATTTTGTGTGCCCTGGGTGTTTCTTCTCTCACAGATCAGCCCACAGTTGCATGACAGAACGGCCTTAATTTCTTGCCAGTAATTCAATGTTCCATTATCAGTCCCTGTATCCCCAGTTTGTGTTTCATTTCGCCTTCCAAAGGTCTTATTTATTGACCTTGCACCAGTGCAAAGGGCCCAGCACCCCAAGCAGAGCAGGGAAGGAGGAGTTTGGCCTTGGCTGTGGCTGCAGTTCCCCCTCACTCAGAGTTCTCCCCCAGCTCCACGTTCCCTCATGGCTGTATTTAAAGTATGTTTTTTTTCCCCTTTCTATAAAATGGAGCCTTAATAAGACACCGATGGTCTGTGGGGTTATTGCTGCGCCCAGGGTGGGGTGGGGCAGGATGGGAGGGTGGAATCCCAGATATTCAGGTGCCAGGGGCTTCTTAATCCACCTGGACTTCCTTGAAAAAATTAAATCATCATCCTCACCTTCAAAACAAAAGAGACTTTTGTGGCAGAGAGGGGAGATGTAGGAATTACCAGTTTTAGAGAAGCTGCTCCCCTCCTGGATGATGTGATCATTGTCCCTGTCCCCACAAGGCTCCTCTGCAGGAGGATTTTTGGTGGAATTTTGGGCCTGCCTGTGGAGATGGAGCTGTCAGCAGAGTCCCTGCTCTGGGAATGTGCTCCCTGAGCAGGATGGGCAGGACAGGGACACAGGCTGGGATCCTGACTGAAACATCCAAGCCCTTAGAACCAAACTCCAACCTTTTATTTGGATTAAAGCAAGATCTCAGAGAACACAGAGGTGCTGGGGGCACTCAGCAGTGCTTGATGACCCTGTTCCCCTGCGAGTCCTGTGTGAACAGGGACTGCAGCCCCCAGGGCTGGCTGGGGCTGGCCCCCAGGGAGCTGCCCCTGGCCCTGTGAGCAATGACCCTGTTCCCTTGGGAGTCCTGGCAGAAGAGCTGCCCGCAGGAGCCCTCCGGGGTCTGGCCCCGCTCCCTGAGGGGCTGAGGAGAGCAGCAAACCCCGCTGGGAGCAGCCCCTGGGACAGGATTTGTGTTCTCAGTCCCAGCAAAACCCAGCCCAGAAGTAACTCTGCTCCAGGGCTGTGGTTTCCTGCTCCCTGAGGCCGTTTCTCCAGGAAATAACCGGGATTTGTTCCTCTGAGCGTCGATCCCGCTGTGCTCCGAGCCCTGGGAGAGGCTGCAGCACCAGGAATCCCCCCCAGCCCCACCAGAGGCTTTGCTCTGGCTCTGAGACTCCACCTGAAGCTCCAGGGGATCCAGGGGTGTTTTCCATGCCTGGGATGTGCCCTGCACCCCCTGCTCGGCTCCAGGGAGCTCTTCCCGGGCTCCCTCCAGCTGTGGCAAGGCCAGGATCTTCACAGGACAGGCAGCCAGGGGAGCCCCCGAGCACTCACAGCCTTTATTTGGGGTGCAGGGGGTCGGCCTGGAGTTTTCTTTGTCTCTTCCATCTGCAAACAGCAGGGAACTGGTGAGAGCAGCTCCATCAGCAGGGAACTGGTGAGAGCAGCCCCATCTCCCCCCCAGCAGCACGGCTGTCCCCTGTGTGTCCCCTGTGTGTCCCCAAGGCCAGCACTGCCACCACCCCCAGGGTGCCCAGCCCATCCCAGAACAGCACCCAGAGCTCTGGGCTGCTCCACATCATCCCCTGCACCTTCAGCTGCTCAAAGTTACCAAAACCCCCTCAGAACTGCCCGGTGAAACCGCCCTGGCCCCACAGAGGCACCAGGACCCACACCGGCCTCTGCAACCATTTAATGGAAACCCAACTTCCCGCTACCGCCCGGCTCCTCCTTCCTGGCACTTCAAACCTTCCCCCTCTGCGCCCGAAAATGAATCTTGCTGTGTTTGCAGCGGGTTTGCAGCGCCTGGAGCCGGTTCCGCGGGCCCGGTACCTGTGAGGGGGCTGAAGAAGGCGGGGATGGTGCTCTGCCTCCTGCCGGGCCCGGGGCTGGCTGCTTTCAGCCTGGCGCTGAGGGGCTGCGGGAAGAAACGCCTGAGAAATGACAGAATAACAACAAAGCCAAGCCGAGCTCTCTCCTCCGGCACCGCGGCAGCCCCGGCCCGCCTGAGGGGCCCCGCGGCTGGGCCGGCACCCCCGGCCCGCCCCCCCGGGCTCACCCGCGCCGGGACCCGCTTCAGCTCGGCCGTGTCCAGCCACACCCCGCAGGCCTCGGCCGGGGCCGCGCCGCCCCCGCGCCGCCGCTGCCGCCTCATCCCGGGGCTCCCGGGGCTCCCCGGCCCCGGTGGGTCCCGGTCCCGATTCCGGTCCCGGTTTTTGCCGGTCCCGGTTTCCCGCTCGCACCGGCCCCGCCTGCAAAAAGCATTGCGCATGCGCGGCCCGTGGGGCTTGACCAATGGGAGCCGAGTGGCGGGGCCACATGGGGAATGAGACCACGCCCACTCCCGCATTGCTCTATATAAAGGGCGGAGGCTGCGGGGCTCGCTCAGAGCAGTGGGAGCGGAGCTGGTGAGGGGTGGTGGAACCGGCGGGGGCGGAGCCGGGAGCGGTACCGGAACCGGCGGGGGCGGAGCTGCCCCGCCCGTGCCCATGCCGGGGCGGGAGCTGCGGCAGCCCCCCCTGTTCCCAGCCCCCACCCAGTGCTGGGGTTCCCCATCGCATCGGCCCCTCCTCTCCCCGCACCTTCAGGGCCAGGGCTGTGCCCGTCCTGCTCCCACAGGGTCAGGAACAGGGCCCTGCCACTGCATGGACAGCTCCAAACAACTCCCTCATCCCTACATCAGCAGCCTGAAATTATAATAAATTAATTTGTCACCTCAGTGGCTTAAACAACCTCACCTTGGTCTGTTTCCATGGTTTAGAGTCTCAACAGGGGCCAGATGGCCTCTCCTTATCTCATGCTGGGAGCCCTGGCAGCGTCCCAGAGCCTTCCCCAGCCCATCAGGGCACACAAAACACTTTGTTCCAACTGTTTATTCAGAGGTGAACGGAACCCATGTACCGTTCTACGAGCAAGCTGGAACTTAGGCTGGATTAAAAAAGCATAAAAAGCATCTCTTTGATTCCCTAGAGAAAGCACTTGCTGAGTAAGAGTTCATGAAGCAGCATCTGGGGGCTTGGGGCTGGATTTGGGCTGAGCCCACTTTACTCTTCCTTGAGGCCCAGCTTGTTCTTCACCCTCTGGGCCATGTAGGTGGCTGTGAGGACAGAGCAGGTGACGGTGACGAGGAACAGGGCAGAGAAGTCGTGAGCCAGGCCCCGCTGGAGGGAGGAGTAGATCTCCCTCCTGGACTCATAGTCCAGCACCACGGCCTCGATCTGCGCCAGCGTGCAGAGCACCAGGAACACGTGGAAGATCTGGTGGCTCTGCCCCACGAAGTGACACTTCCCGGGGAACCACTTCTCGGGGTAGGGATGGGAGAAGAAGAAGGCCCCGACGAGGAAGAAGAGCACCTGGCACTTGTGGTAGAGCAGGGCGGGGTCGGGGCGCGCCGCGGTGCAGATGCGATGGATCACGGGGCTGATGTCCAGCAGGTAGGCCAGGCCCGAGGGCAGCTCCTGGCACAGCCGGCCGGGCAGCGGGCAGGACGGGTGGAAGCGGAACTTGGCGTAGCAGGAGCCGGCGCAGGACAGCCAGGCCAGCGCCGCAGCCAGCGGCAGGAAGAAGCTCTGCACGCGCCGGTGCCAGCCGGGCTCGATGGCGTAGTAGAAGTGGCCCAGGGCGCTGCCGTACTGGTACACGGCCACCCCCACGTAGTCCATGAAGAAGAAGCCGTAGTGCCAGAACTCGGACTTGGCCTGCAGCAGGTGGGCGAGGCTGCTGAAGGTCAGGTAGGTGATGGCGGCGGCCAGGATGATGAGCAGGGGCCGGGCGTGCGCGTCCTGCCCGAAGTCCACGCGCTGCCAGAGGTGCTGGAAGCGCAGCAGCAGCCCCAGGGCGGCCGCCAGGTGTGACCAGACGTTGATGGCCTCGTTGTGCTGCTGGAAGAGCGTGGAGAAGTAGTAACGCCAGGTCTGGCGCACGGGCCGGTAGCCGCCGTGGATGTAGGGCTTCCAGAACACCGGCGGCACCTCGGCGCTGCTCACCGTGCCCGGGGACAGCGGCCCCAGCAGCTGAGGGAGCTGCCTGACGTTGATGAAGAGCCGGCTGAGCTTCTCCGTCACCACCGTGGCCATGATGAGGCCAAACTCGGCGTCCTCGCTGAGCAGAATTCCCTTTGGGAAGGAGAGGAAGTTTTGCTGTGGGGTTTAGTAGGGATTTTAACATAAAAATCAACAAGCGGGGGCCGTTCAGATGCTCTGCTTGGGGTTTTCCCTCGTAGAATCCCCAACTACAGTGAGAGAAAGGAGATTTAAGAACCCCTGAGGTGCCTCTGCTGTGTGGGGAGCCCCCAGGACACGAATCTGGGGTTAAATGACAATAATGATCACAGCAGTGCCTGGCTCATCCCCTTCCCTGTTTGGGAACTGCTAAACAAACCAAGAATCCTAAACAAACCTCCCACTCCAGATTCCCCCTCCTGTAAACTCTTTACAGCCTCTGCCCTTACAAATACCAACAATCAGCTCCTGATTTTCCAAGCAGCTTCCCACAATGTGGCCTGAGTGAGTCCATCCTGTGGCACCACCAAGGTTCAGCAGAATAATCTTTGTGAGCAGGAATTTCCACATTTACGTTTCCTTACCCAGCTAAAGGCAGCCCTGCCAGCTTGTTTGGCCTTTTCATAAAAACTTATTGAACAGAACATGCCCAAAATGAGATTCTCCCCTTACTTTACCTGCTCTTGCTCAGAGAAGTCCTGAAGAAAACCTGATTCACGTCCAGCTCCACTGCTGATCTGTGCCTGAACCCCTGGCAAGTGCCCTCATTTCAGGGGCAGGAAAAGTTCTTTAAAGTTTGGGAACAGGAGGAGGTGGGGATGGGACTGTTTGTTTTTAAAAAACTCTGTAATTTCCTCATCAAAGTCAGGCTGTAACTCATTCCTGCCTGAATCCAAGGGGATTCAGAACAGAACAGGCTCTTAGCTGCTCCATTTCCCTCCCAAGTGCCCTTTGCCCACCTGGCCTGGTTAGAGCTGCCCCACACCCCGGGCAGCGTCCCCGGCTGGGGCAGCACCTCCCAAAGGGCGATCCCGACCTTCCCCTGCCCCTCAAACCCTCCCGAAAAGCTGCGACTTTCTCGGGCCCACGGGGGAAAGTTCACCCCGTGAACCTCTCCCTGCTCCGAACCGAAATAGCCCCGAGCGCTGCCGCGGACAGAGGGCGAAAGCAGAACCAGCAGAACCTCCCAGGTTCGGCTGTTCTGACCTGAATTCCACGGGCACTGCCCGGAGAACTTGCCTCAGTGCCAGGGCAGGGGAGGGGGCTCAGCTCCGGCTCCCAGGAGAGGAATTCCTGCGGGAAAGGCGGATGATGAAGGGGATGATGATGTCGGAAGCAGCGGGAAGCAGCCAAGCACGAGGCAGGAAAGGGAGCGGTGTTTACTTCAGCTCCTCCAAAACTTGTCGGAGCAGGATTTAATTTGCCGAGTTCTTCCCAGCTACCGAGCCTTGAGCAGCGCTCCGTTATGAAGGGAGCGCATCCTGGAAATCCTCGTACTCCAAATAACACCCTCCACCTCCCCACGAGCTGTCGGGAACGCTGCCTGGCGTTTCCTCTGCCCAGCAGCATCCAACCCCTCCCGCTGAATTTTTCTGTGATGATAAAGACTCGCCCCCGGCTGTTTACATCCCTGCCTGCTCCCGCCTCACAGCGGCACCCAACCTCCCAAAGCCTCCCAGAGCCTCCCAAAGCCTCCCAGAGCCTCCCAGAGCACGGGCAGCTTTCGTTTTCAAACCACCACGGCTTTCCTGCAGCTCCGATCAGCCCCTGAGCCCCGCAGAGCAGCGGCTCCAGCCCTGCCAAACCTTCCGGGCAGCCCAGGATGGTTCTCCCTCTCCCGGGATGTTTCCCCTCGCGGGTGAGGATGAGGATGAGGAAGGCTTTGAGCCCTTTCCCTCTCGGTGGCCCCCGGGACTCCCAGCCCCGCGCAGGCACCTGCAGAACGGAGCCATCCGGGCCCGCCCCGGCCCCGCCGCTTCCTCCGCCCGCGGCTCCTCCCGGCCCGGGGGTCGCGGCCCCCGCAGCCCCTTGGAGCTGCCCCGAGCCGCTGCTCCTCCCTTCGCACCCCCGACACGGCTCCACCTCCCTCCCTCCGCAGCTGGAAGAAGTTGCGTTATTATTATTATTATTATTACTATTATTATATTACTAT